ATACTCCCTGAACTCTTTGGCGCAATTCGGCTAACGTATGCGGTAGTCCACAATGCCCATTCAGCACGTGAGCGTTCCAAGCCACCAACCTGGTGACGTTATTCTTCAGGGGGTAGTGTGATAAGGTGTTTAGCAACATGCGGCCACAAAAGGTTATCCAACCTACCTCCCACACATAGCAAGCCATCTAGCAATATCGGATATAAGCGTATTGGTTTGTGGTTGCGTACACTTCGTTCGTCAACCTTACCGGTGCGTTCTAATTTCAACATGATTTGTGGGTACACCATCTTCTGAACCATGCGAATAATATCACGCTCAGATTGCCTCACTTCTGCGAGTTTCGATCCTCCAGTGTTCAGTGAGGATTCAGTTGAGCAGCTTGCCATCATTCTCAGGTATGTTTTAAATCTTGTCAACCATACCACAGATCGTAGAAGTTTAGACCAATCGGAACGCCTTTCCATTAAAAGATGCAACCCAGTTGGTTCCGAAGCAGCGGTCACGTTGACCGAAGCACGTTTCATCTTCAATTCTATTCCTTCTGGTATGAAATTTGGTTCGTAGCGTGGCCACTGGGCCTCGGACGCTTCCAGAAAGGCCGGCCCCTTGAACCAATATCGAAGAGCAGTCAGAGAGCTTACTTCTCTAGAGGCTAGTTCTGACGGATTATCCTCGCTCATTACGTGACGCCAATCACCGGGTGACGACAACTGATGAATTGTAGAGATTCTGTTTGTCACGAAGGTACTGTAGCGAGTGGCAATGTTCCGTATATAGTGAAGCACTATAGTTGAATCTGTCCAGTAAGTTGTTCTTATGAACGCAAATCCTGCTTCTTTCCGCAGTTCTTCCGCCACCCTTGCGGCTAGTCGCGCGGCATTCAACTCAAGCCTCGGCACTGTTACAGATTTCAAAGGTGCCACTCTAGACTTGGCATATATCAGAATGCACGTGAATTTCTCGGGTTCGACGCACCAGCGACAATACCCAACCACACCATACCCCACTTCAGAGGTGTCACTGAGCATATGCAAGTCTACATTTGCATCATAAATGTGAGCAGGTTGTACGCAACGGGGTATCTTTAGTTCGCCCAACGGCTTCATACTTTCAAACCATCTCTGCCACNAATTCGGAGTCCACGCTCGTCGCACAGGCAACGGAGAGCCTCGCTGCTCTTGGTCTTATTGTTCCCCTCTTGCCTTACTGGTATGGTTGCACCTCGTGGAACGACGTTCTAGCCAATGTAGCCCGCGGGATCACTGCAGCACTCAAGTCCGACTACCACGTCAAGGTGGCAGCTTTCGGCCGCAAAACACATAGTTAGTGGCAAGATTAGCCGAATGGTTTTGAATCTTCGAGTGACACCCAGTATTGGTGTAAATGAAGGATCGCTTTTCGGTTGATACGACCCGGATCTGTGTGTACAGAATAAAATGTAACAATGGTTAGTCTGGGTCAAACGGCCAGAGAATTGCACGCTGGAATCGATGAGCACAAACGGTGCATAAACAGCCACCCAAGAGAAAGATTAAAATCAAGCAGTGTACGCACTTGGTATTGAATGCAAATTAGACCTAGAACATGTGCAAGTGTTGAGACATCGACTGAGACCCACATTACAGCTACCGTTGGCCGAGGTGGTAAAACCTGTCCGGTCTCGTAGCGTGAACCTAATTGAGGGTGTACGACTGGCAAGCATGTACAGTGCAGCTTTATGTCAACTGACTTGACACGAGGTAGTGTACGGTAAACATTGGGTGAGAAACCTACGGAAACAAAAGTTGTGGACCACCCAAGAGGAATATTCGACTACACTTCCGTATACTGGAACTACAAGTGCCAAACCCTATTCAGCTTGGTGGTAATACCCACGATCCATCTGTCGTAATTATTAATTATGTGATCAAGTAATGGAAATATCGCGAAATAAGTATTAGCTGCCGGAAGACCGTATTTTAGCCACATAAATCAGAATTATGGTGTCCAAGTGTCACGTTAGGTCCAACGGAAGATAGAAAAGAAGGATTGATTCTGGTAATCGAGGTCAAAACCACCGCAAATGTAGGCCTCTGTAAACATCGTATAGAGTAGAAACAGAGGTGGCAGGCTGAATAAATGTTACTGTTCAAAACTACGGATATTGCCAAGTGCTATCTGAAATGTATGAGGAGTGTGATTATTCAGTGTTGAGCCTGGCCATGTCTGTTTAGTTATCGAGGTAGCCGTCAACCCACCTCAATTGCTTATAGCAGCAGTCTCCTGTAAGTTAGGCGTGGTATTTCCCCGATACTAATGATAGATAATAGGTTGTTTGTCTTGTTTATTCTCTGGACCTCTCTAAATAGCAGGGAAATTCGAATCTTTCGGCGGAAAATCTTGAATCTCTTGCCATTCTTGTAAGTAACGTGGGGAATTAGAAATCAATACGGAAAGGCTGTAAAGTTAAGTGATCGTATTGATTTATGTTTGGAACCCGTCACTCCACATTTTGCACAGGTTGAACTTTTACAACACTAAAGCGCGTCTGGGAACTCAGTGATGGTCAGTTGAGTTTGGTGTAAATGTGCCCGTAATTCCAGAGTAAGATTTTTTGCTCAGGTGTCACTCACAACCCGTCTGGGAACTCAGTGATGGTCAGTTGAGTTTGGTGTAAATGTGCCCGTAATTCCAGAGTAAGATTTTTTGCTCAGGTGTCACTCACAACCTTCTTTCCCGGTGTGCGCTGTGCAAGCAAAAGTGACCAAAATAGTGGTCAGTGCACTCTTGTTATTTGTGTTAATGCATCGTGTGAGTCAGGTCACTGTGATGTATCGATGGTAGCACTCAGCCGTGTATCACGGTGTTGGGGTCAAAAACCAACCTCCACCTACCAGAATTGGCGAAAACTGTTGTGCTCCCAGTCGCACTTCACACTACTTTTGAACGTATGGTAAAAAGGGCACATAGTGCACGAGTGATTGAGAACCACTGCTCAACTTTTCATTTTGATTATTGTGACAGAATCTTCTACGCGTTTTTCCGACAATGTTAATTCTTCTGTCCATCTTCCAGCTGGCGTTGTTCGGCAGACATTTCCGTCACTGGCCAAGTCCGAGTTGGAGGTTCTATACCCCGTGGCGAACACAGACAGCTTGCGACTTCCTTCAGCAGTTGTTGACTTCGACGATCCCAATGGTTTGTCCAATTGCCGACAGTCATGTCGCAATGCATTACCCGGTCATATTATCCCCAAATCGGCCCGGTTCGTATTCGTTTCAATCAACCGTTACGAACGCAAGAAGAATCTCTCCTTGGCGCTGTTTGCTTTGAGTAATTCTGCCACTTTGTTTACTTTTTGTTTTTGTCCGTTAATATTATAAGTAATAAGCATGAAAAATATTTGGCGATTAGTTTTATCAAGTTTTTAAATTTTCACCGAGAATTTTTCATTATCAAAATTCCCTGCCAAGTCTCTGTCACATCATCATCATCATCAAGGACAGCACATGGAATGTTCATACGGTCGTATGCTTTTTTCGACAAGTCAAGCGTTTATAATCGAATTCTCCTCCGTCTTTCAATCTTTGGGGCAATGTATTTATTTCGGTTGTCTACTATTATTTTGGGGGTGAAATTCCATAACCTCAGCGAGCTAAGATCCATTGTGTAATCCATGTGCAGAGAAGAATTGGTACACAGGTTGTAAGTCTACTTGGCAATGAGGTACGGTAGTTTCCGTCCACTAGATGCAGCTGCGATGTTGATTACCCTTTCCCTACTTAGCTCCAAACACGAGATGGTTCAGTGGTTAGGACGCGAATTTACTGATTGGAAGGTCCGTGGTTCGAACCCATCTCGACTTCCCCTGTCTGAAGAGCAACCTGGCAGTGTCCCATCACTTGTCCCTCCTTCAAGTGGCATGGCAATTAGGCACCGGAAGAGTGCTACAGCTGAAAGATTCCAAACACAAAGTTGGGACGAGGAGTGGATATGATCTAAAAGCTCCTCTTCTGCGCTATCACCTTCGGTGTGTAGCTGTCTCAAGCGATACTTCGTCGGAAAAGAGAGCAATTCAACTTCAGTTATCCAAATGTTCTCACCTAAGGAAACTAGAGGCAGGAGCCATCTTACTGTATGTGCTTCGTTGTCGTGACACTGATGTTTACCTGAGTAGAGTGAAGTTGAGTGGAGTGAGAATGGGGTATATATTTATCATGTTCATTTGGAGGTACCGTCTTCATCTCAATTTCTTCAAATTTCAACGTAGCACCCCACCTCCGTCATAATACTGCACAAATACCCTGCTTATTAGTGCACTCTCAAGATATTAGTGGATAACTCAGTGCTGTCCTATTAGCCGTGCGGCTAATGACGTCATCTTTAAGATGAGAGTCCGGCTGTTAGTCATTGAAATTGGAGTAAGCTTACCCCTATCCAGTAGGCCGGTATGTTTGTGCATTCGCAAGTTGTGCAAGTCCACGTGGTCGAGGCGGACTTTGTGCCTTTTCCTGAGGTCTTGCTTTTTTCAGCATTGTGTATCTAGCCGCTCTCCAGCCTTCTCTGTCGAGTGCCAGGTTCTCTCATCATCTAAACTGGAAGTTGGATTTTTACGAACTGATCTGGGCGTAGGCAATTTATCTTGGGATGATAGTTTCCGCCATCCGTCTCGAGTGGTCTGGTGGAGCTGATTTCGCATTTCATGGAGTTTTGGCTGGAGTAGCGAGGTCAGTACATCACTTAAGATGAACCATATTCCTCCAATCTGGAGCACGTGTATTTTCCGAAAATGACGTTCATGGGGTTGGGTCAATTAAAAGCTGTTACCGAAGAGAACATGGCTCGAAAGAAAAATTCGGTGCTTACTGTATGCAAACATGGGATGAAGCGCCACCTAGCTGTTTTGTTTTGAGCGCGCATCTGAGTCCTGATAGATGCAAACGCAACTCTTATGTTTTCATCTATCCTTATTTTCCCCACAGGCGTTTTTTTTTCCATTGGCAACGAGTTTCCCCACAGGCCATTTGTTCATCCATTGGGACGAGTTAGTGGATTCGGACAAGTCAGGTCATGCGAAACCCTCCGACGTGCACTTGGTGTTGGCCGGAGGCTACGATACACGTGTTGCAGAAAATGTTGAATATCATAAAGAATTGACCGCATTAGCAGACGAACTCAAGGTGAGAACCTGTTTACAGTAGCCTGCACTTAGAGAGAGGTTTGGTAAAGAATAAGTAAGTTTATTACTGAGCAAAGAGCTGCAGGTCTGGTTTCCATGCAGTCACTATTTAAGGGAGCCATGAACAGAGTTGTTTCCAAGACAGTGCGCTCCCGATAATCAAAATCGCTTGGTCCCAAATCTATTTGTGTTGCTGGAGGTAGGCTGCATTCCATGAGTTGCTTACAAGAAGGGCATAGTCTGACCACAGAGGTTCCGCGTATCTTCCGTGCTCATCCCATCCCAGAGCCAAATTTATGGCTTTCACTGTTCATATAGGTGACTGTTGAAAAATAGTTTATTCGGATTCCATTAATGTCATAAATAATTCAACGGCGAATCATTCAGCCTACTGAACTAATATTATAAGGTCCATATATGACCGCATCATGATGGAACATACACTTCGCGTACACCTTCATGGTCGGAAATCTTACGTGTACCTTTTATCTTGATTAACCCTTTGACACCGTATCGAGCGTAGTTCATGAGATTACCTCGCTCATGATTATTGTACGGTTTTCCCGACACGATATAGGGATAGGAAGCTTAGTATCTAGTTCTCTAGAATAAGAGCTTTCAGTCATAAACAAGTTTCAGTGGAGTTGGGAATACCTTTTGACGAGCCTGTATCTCCAGCGCAGAGGTAAGTTACGTGTTGATCCGTATGAACCTAGACCATTCCGCGCAAGTGAACAACAGAGCAGCCTTTTAACGGCCGGAGCGAGAATGTACACTGAATCTCCTCTATTCTTCATTTGTTTGTCTTCCAAATCTTGTTTTATTTGCCACAGTGTAAAGTAACTAATGGTTTTATCCGGTTTTATTATTTTATTATCCAGATCACCAAGTTGGCCAGGTTTTAAGGCAGACGGAGAACCAATCAGTAAGGCATCCTTATATTAACGCACCAGATCAGTGTTAAGTGTCAATTAACGGCTCTTGTCGGTTGGTTTGGTTCTCAAAATATTGCGTTGATGGGTTTTGGGGATTTCAAATTAGTTCCGATCGGGCTTGGTTCCTTAATCTTCCACTTCAGGGTGGATTCACCGCGAATGCCATTGGTAGATTTCGTTGGTCTTTGTGAGCTTCTGAGTGTTGGGACAATTTAGTTGGGGGGAGGGAAGGTGGGTGATGTTAAGTGGAATTCAGGTCATGATTAGTCCTGGTGACCGCACAGCAACACGTGTCAGCCGGATTTACGGATTTGTTCGAAAAGTTATTTTCAAACAGACCGCCAAGTGAGGCAGAGTGTTGTCTGTTAGAGAAGGGATTGGGTTTTGCAGTAAGCGAAGCGGTGATAAGGGCGGAAGAGATAATTCCAAGCGATGAATACGTGTTTCACAATCTTCCGCTAATGGAGGCGGAGACATACAGCTGGTCACACTCCTTAAGTCCCAGTAGCCATGAGCTCCAAATATTACGCCAACAGAGCGAAGAGCGTTGAACACCATAAAACAGGTGAACCACATAGTGATCACAAAAGCGGGTAAAAGTAAGACCACTGTGGTCATGAACAAGAATGATTGCCTACAGGTCAAGCAACACCTGGCTGAGTGTCCCTACCGGCACATCGATGTGGGAATAAAACACCCATAATGAATAGGAGTAAAGCTAAACTTGCGGTCCGTGATAAACCACTTAGGGCAAGGTAATTGGTATCGATTGTACTCCAAAAGTGCAATCCAACCACGGCTTCATGGCCTACCGAAAATCCGTAAACCAGATTTTGAGGTGAGACTAATAGTAGACGGAATAGGTTTCCCACCCCATGAGTTGGCCAGATTCTTGGCAGGTATTTTAAAACCCTTCAACGGGCAGTCTAGCACTTGTATTGAGAATTCATATGACTTTGCCAACAAAGTAGCAACCAGACGACATTGCTGTAGGTTTCGATTTCAATTCATTATATACGAATGTGCTAAAAGGGGACTCTTCAGAAATAGCCAAGCGACTGCTACTAGTGTATACCACCCTTTCAGGACGAACACAGCTTGCGGTAAATGAAATAGCAGAATGTATAGAAGCATACCTGAATCTCAATCACTTCCTTTTTGGCTCTGTGAAATGCGTTAGCACTCCGTCTACTCTGGAACTAATTTCCGACTAACCACGACAGAACGTCTTACCTGTAAATGTCGATTTATGTTGACACCTATCTTTTTTAGCATTTCCTGATGCCTTCTGATGCTGTTTTAGCAGAGGGATCGATTCGCATTAGATGGAAGTGGCCAAACTAAATTCGACACTGTAGTTCAGGGGATTGGGCTTAGTTCAGTAAAGGTGGATCAGCACCTTATTTATTCGAACACGTTAATCGCATTTTTATTGCAGCACATGGAAACTAATATTCCGTCAGTCTGTGACCTTGAGAGCACCTTTCAAGGCATGTAGGCCTTCCTGCCCAATTAGCTCTTGCTCAGTATTTGTGAGAAAATCACAAAAGGAAATTTTTGGGAATCAGGAGTCAGTCTTTTTATCCTGATGCACGTTAAATCCTGTTTTATCAAGTATAGCGCTCCTTTGCCCTCGAAAACTTTGAGTACCCTTTCTGCCGTCGGTTCGTCTTCCACACCCCAAACTACAGATCGGAGACCATGTAACTTTCGTCCGTTCTTGTCCATCTGAAGTGAAGACGCTACTGATCTCATCTAGCGATGCTGTTTTGTATACACCGGACAGAGAGCACTTCGGAATAGTACCAGTGGAAGCCATGTTTCTCTACCGACCCGTAATCGCACTGGACTCTGGTGGTCCCCGTGAAACAGTCTTAGATGGATCCACTGGGTTCTTGTGTCGCGCAGAACCGGAGGCTCGTCTTCCCGGTTGTTTTGCGGTTCAACTGGCTAGGTAAGCTCTTGCTCATCTGATCTGACTTGTGGCATTCTTCCACTGTGAATTGTTCCCATATTGGAAAACTGTACCGAACTGTAACATGTTTGGACCCCGCCATAATTCCCTTTGTTTTTCCATTGGAAATCTGACTAATTCTGTGCACCCTTGTGTATAGGCGAGTGATGTAGCAGTGTGGGCCAAGCGCACTATATTATTGTTATAACTTATCCTAAAGGATCGTACGCACTGAAGAGACTGAAGACAGCTGCTCAAACAACCCAGCGCCCAATATCAACGCTGAAAAAGGCACACAGTACTGCGAGAATCCGGTTCTATCTCTGACTCAAGAGTTATCGCTCCTCCCGATTAAGGGAGGCAAACTTATTAGGTCAAAATTTCACTGTGTACATAACCTCACATGTAACTGCAGAGGTCACATTGGAAGAACATATGGTGTCTTAGTGCTATGAAGGAGCACGTTTCCTTATAGTCCCGAACCGAACAACGGACTGAAAACCAGGATCCTTACCTGTTTACGATCGGTAACCATCTTTTGACCACAGACCACCGGGTTTGTTTGACCCCAGCTATATTGTCTAGTCATTATGACTCACATGGTCTTCAATTTACAGAGGCTGCTGCGATCAGCTTATTCCGGCATTCATTGTGTTCAAAAAAACTTGATGTACTCCCTAGTCTACCTTGAATATGACGTGTATACCGTTTCTGATTGTTGACCAAATTCTCTTTAACCATATGGTTAGCACTATTCGCCAAGACCGAGAAACACCGCTTTCTCGTGATTAGTAATTTGGTAATGGTTAACCAAAATACATGTAGTTTCCGTAACTGTTTTTCATCACATGATAGAACGACAAATCCCGCTCGATTGTAGTACTCGATTCGCTGAGATTCCGTTTAAGAATTTGGAGTCTGTACCATTTCTTACGACACTTCGTTCTGGAGCGTAATGTATTGGTCCTCTTTTTAACTTCACACGTTGCTAGGATCACTTGTGTCTCACGGGTGCCATTCGCTTGTAAATATTGGCGCTCTACAGGAAAAAAACGAGCTGTAAGGGTACGGCAGAAGGTTGAACAAGTCAAAGCGAATCTTCTCAGGTCAACCGATCTTTGCTTCTTCCAGCACAACAGTGTCTTCTCCCACCACAGGACTATTTTGTAATGTCGCAGAATCATTTATCAGTGTTTGGTCGGTTAGCAGGGCGACCGTCTAGTCAGCTCAGTTTGCGCGATCTTCTCCTTGCTTGTCTAATTTACTACTTTTGGACAACTTCGGGACAACAGTTATGCAGGATCGGAAAGTGTGCGAGATTTCGCAGAGATATCTGCTACTCCCAGTCTTACGCAGGTCCGAAGTTGGAAGAGAGGTCAGTAGGTCAATCTATGTTGTGAACGTTTGTAGTTGGGATTTCGGTGTTCATACAAACAGCGGGGCTGATAAACAGTGCACGAGACAGTAAGGTCGACAGCTATGGCTATGCAAAACAAAGTTGTACGGAGCAATATAAAGAACGCACGATCAATAATGGTAAATTGTAGAAATTCGTAGGGCTATAGACTACGAAACTAGACGATATGTGAATATAGTTGATCAATTTGGCTGGACCAGCGAAATTGTGCAGAGGAATCCGAGGACGGATTCGGCTCCCGAAGGACCACCGCGTGCGGACCCAGAGTTACAGAAGGCGAACTGTCAGCTGGCGCGCATCACGCTTTACAGGTGTCTGCCGCACAACGCTCTCCACAGTTACAGTGCGCGCGAACTGCGCAACGGTCAACAGAGGATTATCTACTGGACAACGATGGACGCGTACCTACTGTCGTGTAACGCAAAAGATCGTCCACCTGAAAGGTTCATTCAAAAGTAACACTCGTCCAAATAAGTGTATGGAGGAGAGACGATATACCAGGTCACTGGTATTCTAGCGTCGACGATATTCCTCTGGCGTGCCAGAAGTAAATGGGTATGGTCATTAAGATAGGAATCACTGCAGTTGGTCGCTTCTGGGTCATGTGGGCAGCTTGTTAGATCTCTTTTGATAATGCAGGCCCGATTTCCAGCTAGTCCAGCCGTCTTCCTCCTGGAACACTCACTGAGATAGAATAGCTACGAAGCACAAACTTTTTGGCAACGAAAACTGGATAGGAACTACGGAAATGTCTGGGTTAGTGTCAGGACTGGCTGATCATACTGATTTCTGTTAGGAGACGACTAACTGTATCTAAGCTTTACAATGGCAACCAGCTCATAAGTCGCGAAATTCTCACTTCAACGGTACACGAAACCGTTCTTAGCATCACTTGGCTTCAATGATCTATAATTCCTTTCACGCCTTCATTTGGACATTCTTCCGTAAACAGGTGTACCTACATTGCCATCTCGAGCCTACTCAATTACAGCGCTTGTTTTGTAACTTGTAATGCTGAAATGAGACGTGAAATACTGTACCAACGCAACTCTGCGGCCGTAGCGCGCGAGGGGATTAGATACTCAGTACTGTAAGGTCACTTATATGTCCTCATTAGGTGCACTCATCCTCACTCTGAAACATCATGTGCTTTTAACTTTTCCGCTGTTTCTTCCAATCCTTTTGGTGTTAGGTTTCTCAACGACCCCAGTCTGGTGTCCAGGATGGGAAAAATGGCACACCGCAGAGTTGTGGAACATTTCTCCTGCAATGCTTTCCGCAAACAGCTTTGTGATATTATCTCGCACTTGTCAGCCCCTAACTTTCAATGATCTTGACTATTCAATGCGAACATTTTACTGCTTCCTGTCATCCCCTTTGTACTGTTCATCAGGATATATTGGGCCATACATATCGAATGAGGTAGTGAACTCGTACCTATAAAATGCATGTCACGCAGACACTTCGTTTCTGGTGCCAAGCTTGTCCGATTTGTGCCTTTGACAAAGTTTCCATACATACGTGTTAAACCACATGGTATCCATTGGTGTGAACTGATTAGCCCTATACATGTTTGTCCCAATGGATAATTGAGTGGCATCGCCTCTGCAACAGTAATACTGGCTTTCATGTTGCACACTAAATTTTTCTTGAGCTACCGTACAGTCACTGTTCTGTGGTTTCCGGAGCCACTTCATGCACTCAGCTGAGGTGGTGGACAGAAAGCAAGCAACAAATTGAACTTATTGGAGTCTCACAATTGTGGCCACATCTTGATGCAACATAATCCCGGGGTGGTTGCGGCTGGAAGCAAGGTCACTTTTTGCAGCGGAACTCTAAATCGTGGCGTATACAGTAGAAGTCTTCATTGAGTTGATCCAAAAACTCTATACGACAGAAGATCTTGATGAACACTGGCAGGCCATTGTCCGTGCCGCACTTTCTGGCTCATAACTTAGGAGTCCCTCTTTTCCACTCACTCTTATTTCGTACTTGAACGGTAAATTGGGCACCCGTGAGTTAAACCTTCATTCGCAAGGTGGTGCTAACGTCCGACATGGGCCTACGCCATGTACCGGGCTTTGTCACAATGAAGAATGTATAGAATCCGATCAGCTACCTAGAGTAGGTGTTAACTTTGGGTATGAAAAAGCCTAAACTGCGATGGCAACAAGTTGCCCCAAATAATTTGACCACAATCCGTCCGCAAGATTTCAGTGCTGGCGGAACGTTACAATGGATGTGCTTCTGGAAATTCTGTCCGCAGACGATTCCTTAATGTGCTATGCCTATACGGAAAGTAATAAACCGAGATCCATATCACGTTTTATTACTTCATAGCAGCCAGAAAATGCTATTCGAAGTTGTACATGAGTGGCATCATAGATAAGGTTCTCTTAAATTACCGAAAATAAGATGTTGAATAAGTATCACAAAATAGATCTTGCAATGATCGTCAGGCAACAGCGATCGCCACCGGAGCGGTAACCTCAGAGCCTGGTAACTGATCCTGAAAAACAAAGGAAATAGTGAGCAGAGGCCTACACGGGCTCCATCCAGATCAAATGCGCATGCACAACGTGCCCGATTAATACATGATCAGTGATATAATGTGTATGGGCTTACCACGTCATAAATTACTCGAATGAATAGAGAGCAACTCGGGCACTGGGCAACGTCATCGCCACTGAGTAAATCTTCCTAAGTGGAGTTTTTTTACGACATGTGCAACCTACCCTTGTGATTTGAAATCGGTCCCCGCAGGGGCAGGGATAAAAGTAAGTCTCCAGTTCTGCATCATATTCCATATCTTCAATCTCTATCTCGTCATGAAAAACCGACATTGTCGACTCGATACCGGAGCTACGATCGAAACGGTGGTGAGCTCAGACGGTCCAGAGCTGAAACTAGAAAGTAGGGTGCAAACCATTAACATCACAGAGAAAACTACAGGTTGTCCGATGATAGTAGTTGGTTTTTCACGTTCTTTGAAACGGGCAAGCACCCTCAGGAATNATGTAGTATACCGTGAAAATATGTATATACGCGTGTAAACTACTCGGCCGCTTTCCAGTGGCTATTGGCACTGACAGAAATGGCCCAGTCGCAGTCAGTGGCCCTCGTGCATCAAAACTGTCGCATTTAATATATAGCTACCTAATTTCGGAAAAAAAATGCCGTCGCCTTCAAGGTTTAACTGAATGCCCCACATTCCCGTTTTCCAGTGATCATGGTACAAGGGTTGTCGCTGATGAATTGAATTGAAGATAGAAACCTCAGTAGCATTTAAGGCATCGGATGTGCCTGTTTGATCTCAGTGAGAACGATGAATGGGTAATTAGATTTCATGATGAATTGATACACATGGAACATACTGCCATCATCATCCGTATATTATGAGGTGTAACCTCAACGTTCCTAGTTTTTCGGGGCGCGTCAGAATGACTGCACCACTAGCGAGCCTTCTGGTATTCCTCTGTGAGTGTTACGGCTATTGTTGTTTGAAGTGGAAGCTTTGTGGTCAGCATAAATTAGAAAAACGACCAGAAGTTCTTCAAAGTGGCTATTTGAAAAAAAACTTTCTATAGGATGGGTCCAGCTGTCCACCTCCAGGTTATGTGCAAGACAAACATGTAGTATAGCTTTAGAATGAGAACTATCTGCGAATAAGCCAGACAAATGAGCCACATCGCGGGCGCATGATCGGTATGTTCAGTCAGTTGGGTTCAGTTTTCCACATTACGGCTGATCACTGACAATTAGGTGAATAAAGGAATGAAAGCAACGTGTAGAAGGCCATGGCCCAAACTGCGCATTGAAGACAGGTAGACCTGTATGTCCAGTATAACAGGAAGTGAGCTACGCAGTGAAAGCGATGGGTAGAACAGCCATTGTCTGCGTGACGCCGCCATCTGTTGGGGTCACTAACCATTGGTTTGTCTCGTCCCACGGTCCCCATCCATGGAGACGGCAAATGCCAACGCGACTGACTTAGTTGGTAAAGGCTTTCAGGCTTCGTTGTCAAGTCACGGACTGATCGCCCCTGGGCGCTCTCCATCCGACACAGGTATGGGTGAACAAGGCAGACAACCCTCACATCAGAAGGGCATGGCCTAATCAACGTAATTCGTAGAGTGTGGCTAACTGGTCTATCGGGGGAGAGTGAACTTCCCAGATAAACATCTCTGGTCCACTTCAATATTTCTGGTTTGGTATTCCCACCAAACCCACGGAACGCTTCAGATGCATGGATGGTCAAATGTAATCCGAAAATCTCGCACGCAACGGCCACGTCACGGCGCTGTACAATCTACCCTTGAGAGTCAAGAAAAGAAAGAAAGCCTTCAGCTGTAGCACCCTTCCGGTGCCTAGCTGCCATGCCACCCGAAGGAAGCACGAGGGCTGCGATACTGCCAGGTTGCCCAAGCCTAGGCAGGGGAAGTCGAGTGGTGAAGGTCGGATTCGAACCACGGACCGTCCTGTCAGTAAATTCGCGCTCCAACCACTTGGGCCATCTCGCGTAGCTGCCACGCCAACCGAAGAAAGCACAAGGGCTGGGATACTGTTAGGTTGTTCAAGCCTAGGCAAGAGAAGTCGAGGGGCAGAGGTCGGGTTCGAACCATGGACCTTCCGGTCTGTAAATTTGCGCGCTAACCGAGGAGCCATCTCGCCCTCCAAGATCATTAGCACCAGCGTACTCAATGTTTGTGAACAAACGCTCCGGGAGCAAGGCATCAGTGCCAAAACCGGTGTTTCTGTCCACGATGTTGACTTAAGATGCTCGCTTTTTAGGCGGCACCATTGCCGACTTAAGTTGTCCGGGAGGATCTACTCCCAGGTAGACGCAAATGCGTCAGACACTGACTGAAGAATTCAACGTCTTTGAACAGCCGATAAAAGATCGACGGTTCCAGGGAAGTGAGGACTCTTGAGTGGAAGCATAGACGCGAACAATTCTGAGAAAGGGGGGTTCAATATTCAGTTCACGTTTTGTCAACGGCCTGGTGATAAGTAACTATCCAAATGGGTTGTTATTCGAAGTAATCTACCTTGCTGGATACAAGGAAGCCCTTGTGGCTTCTGACGACTAAACTGATTTCCAAGGGCTTGTCGAACGAATGTAGAAAACTCCAGTATTCTCCTCTTCTGCTTTCGTGACGGTAGTCCGGAGCCTGAGGCCACCTAGAGCCTTGTTCTCTGAAATACACGAGAGCTGATATGATGATTTACAGGGGTGTATACAGGAGTATTCAGTTTGAGTTTGTGCCGGTTTCGCTAGCACATGTGATCATTCAGATGATCAACGTAGTTGCTAGGCCGTCTAGGCGCACATCAACTATAAGAGGGAAATGTTGTCAGGCTTTTAAAACGTTCGAGGCTTAGTTAGATCAACGACAAAACCTTCAACCATGACGGATCGTTATGTGCACAAAGTGCCGCCCTGAGCTACCGATGATGTGATCACTTCTTTGGTTACCGAGTGGTGCGAATGTTTTCAAACCAGATGAAAGAAAGAAAGCGTTCAGCTGTAGCACCCTTCCGGTGCCTAGCTGCCATGCCACCCGAAGGAAGCACGAGGGCTGGGATACTGCCAGGTTGCCCAAGCCTAGACAGAAGTCGAGAGGCGGAGGTCGGATTCGAACCACGGACCTTCCTGTCAGTAAATTCGCGCTCTTACCACTTGGGCCATCTCGCACCGAACCGGAATATTAAGTAGATTGTCGAAGGAAGGTTCGAACAGCGAAATACCGTTCGCAAGTACCATGACCGGGCGACCGAACTGGGTTACCCAACGTTCCAACTGTTCGCGCGACCATTTTGCGATAGGACGGTCCCCGACCCCGTAAAAAAAGGTCAGGGGAAAAGGCGCACATCATCTTTCGACGGTAAAAGAGTAACCTGATCGACGCGGTGCACAGGCTGCCCCAGAAAGCTTCTGTTATGATAGTACTTGGTCGTTCGGCTGTAGCACCCTTTCGGCTCCGAGCTGCCATGTCAACGGAGGGCACTAGGGCTGGATACTGTCAGGTTGCCCATTGAGTGGCGCCTAGACCTCATAATAGTACATTTCAAAACGTGTGTATTTAAGATAGGCCGAAGGCAGGTTCCGAACGTTGCACTATAGAAAACGGCCGGTGGCCAACTTGACCGAAGAATCCGAGGCAAGAGAGACCGCGCAGCGATTCAGACACTACGCAGTAGGAACCGATGTATTAACGCTGTTTCAGTGTCAGTAGACTGAGCACCAGCTAAATCGACCACTGTACGGAATGTAACCGCATCAGTGACGCCATTCGATGGACCTTAGATACGCCATTTGTCAGTCGTAAGCTGTGCGCTGTACTCTAGGTGCTTTGTACCTGGCGAAGGATATGGCATCGTGTAAGGTCTTTAAAACTATGGATAGCCAAAAGCGCCATAGTGAGTTTCATCTGGTTACAACTTCGGGCTAATTGTACCAACCTACGAACACTGCTAATAAATTTTTAAGGCCACGCCGGGTGCGTAGGTGGTAGGTTACAACGGTGCTTTAAAATCGTGATGGTGTAGGTTGGCTAGGGTACAGGTAACTTAGTTTGGACGTCAGAAGGCTCATCGCACATACGCACAGAATAAAGCCTTGGTCGTACCTTGCAAAGGATCGGTAGGTATTTGCATGGTGGCGTAATAACTGAGGACAAACTATCGGTAACAGCTGGCTGGACCACATAATTTGCCCACGTGCTTAAATGCGCTCGGCACTGGTTAGGAAATAACTGTTTGTACCTTTAACAGTAGAGTTTCCATCGCCACTGATTTAATCCGACGCCCCAGTAAGTACACGGAACTGGTGTCCAGTTCAAAATGAAAGAAAAAGAAAGCGTTCAGCTGTAGCACCCTTCCGGTGCCTAGCTGCCATGCCACCCGAAGGAAGCACGAGGGCTAGGATACTGCCAGGTTGCCCAAGCCTAGACAGGGGAAGTCGAGTGGCGGAGGTCGGATTCGAACCACGAACCTTCCGGTCAGCAAATTCGCGCACTTGGGCCATCTCACCCCAGTTGGGGGCCATCTCGTCCAGTTCAAAATTCTCAGTACTGTTGCCTAAAGGGGGAGAACAGTTGGGGCAAGTGTTAAAGATATTGGTTCTCTCAAACACTGGTGACCAGCATATCGTCTACATAGGAATAGACGGAACCTAAGCCGTGAGGAACGCTGTGCAGAAGAGGCTATGTGGAGAAACTCGACAAAACGATGGTGTCGTAACTGCTGTCCTGGAAATACTCCCAGTGGCTTACACGTGAAGATTAGCCGGAAATAGATTAATATTGCTGAACACACTCATATTGCCAGTGGTATCGAGTAGCTACCCGGTGCACTGTAGACACCACACCACTGCCATAGGCCTTGTTCAAAGAACTTCACTAGACTATAAGCCTAGAAACAACCACCGTTAGTGGTTGGTTGTATGGCAGTGTGTAGTCCTCAGTTCTTCATGGATTGATGGCAACCGCGCTGCATGGCCAAGGTTCCACTCCAAGAACTTTTATAAGGCCACATGCCTTTATTGGGAGTCACCAGCTAGATCAACGAAGCATACTTGAGAAGATATTCAGACTTACGGTAGATGTCACATTGACTGCATTAACATTTCAGATGATTTTAAAAAAGCACGCGACCACGAGAAGTTCCAGTATACGCCAAATGTGACCGCACAGATGTGTTGGAACTATCCGCGTCGAAAACTACCGTGCATGTTGTCGATACTTCTTTTAGGAACATCAGAGAACGTAGCTCCCCTCTGACCATCAACCCATTCCCGAAGAAACCACGGTTGATGGCGTCGCGCTTCCTGCCTTACCCCAGT